ATTTCATTTCATTTCATTTCATTTCATTTCATTTCATTTCATTTCATTTTTAGGGGGAGGTGCAAGTGAGTGAGGGGCAGAAAGAGAGAATCCCACAAGGGGCAGAGAGAGGGAGAGAAACAGGGCTTGTGCTCACCCAAAGTGGGGCTCATGCTCACCCGAAGCGGGGCTTGAGCTCACCCGATGTGGGACTTAAAAAAAATCTTAGGGGAGTCTGGGTGGCTCAGTTGGTTAAGCATCCAACTTTGACTCAGGTCATGATCTCGCAGTTTGTGGGTTCAAGCCCTATGTTAGGCTCTGTGCTGACAGCTCAGAGCCTAGAGCCTGCTTTGGATTCTGTGTCTCTCCTTCTCTCTCTGCCCCTCCCCTGCTTGCGCTCTGGCTCTCAAAAATAAATGTAAAAAAAAGTAAATAATTTTTTAAAAATCTTTGAAAAAATTGTTTTAGAATTGAAGCTAAATTAGAAAGGAAATTAGAGTCCATCTCCTTTCTTTTCCTCTCCTTTGAAGAGTAGCTTTTTGATAGCGTTGTTCATATACGTTTCTCATTATCATTGCTATTCATAATTATAATAAGCATAGTCAATATGCTTATTATAGTCAATAAAAGATTTTATTCAGCTGCAAAGAAATAGCAATTAACAGAGAATTTGGGCCTTCCTCCAGCCTTCCCTTGTCATGTTATTTAATGTGATGAAGTTCAGTTCTCCACATTCTTTTTCTGTCTTCCAGTAGATTGTCAAATGTGTTCATTACATTTTTCCTATTTAAAGTACACTGAGTTTCTAGAAATTTATGATCAGTATAGCAGTGGGTCAGAATAAAAAGGTAAAAAATTTCAGGGCAAGACAGGTGTGCTTTTTTCCCTATTAAACCTTTTTGTTTGAGGGGTGTATTTTTCATTATTTCTTTTTCCACTAATGTATTACCCATTAAAACTACCGTGAGGGGTTCCGTTTTTTCTCTTTGCTATCTTGGGTTTTAGCTCTTGTTTTGTTGAGGTTCACAGGCCATTGTAATTCCCCAGAGGGCTCAGGGACATTACACACACACACACACACCCACACACACACACACACCCCCCAGCCACCCACCCCAGAACTTTAATGGGAGTTGTCAGAGTTGGCTCAGGGGCTGGTGCTGTGGACTCCCCTACCTTCTCTCCCTATCTTCTCTCCTGCCCCAGCCTGACGTGGGTCTTGAACTCATGAACTGTGAGATCACCACCTCAGCCTAAACCAAGAGTTGGATGCTTAACCAACTGAGCCACCCAGGCACCCCTCTGGTGTTTTCTTCTTAAGGTGCTGCACCCTAGGGAATATTTAATTGTCCTCACTGACATGGCCTTTCATGAACGAATGGGTCTAAGCCTT